ACTACACTGCACCAGTGTTGATATACATGTCCTTGCAAAAATGATGACACCATCACGAAATTGTCTAAAGAAAAGACTCAACACGAAAATGCTGGATATGTTTCATTGTAGTATAGTGAACCAAGAACTATAAGGTTATATGGCCATCATAATATCATCCCATTGTGTCGAAATTAAGTTGTTTACAATAGAAAAGGTTTTAGGGTCGTAAATAACGTGTTCACTGCAGCTCGACCGGCTCTTGTGGTTTCGTTCAGGGGCGGCTTTCACTAAATATGAAAATCCACCACTCCACTATTTCTTTACTACCTGCAGCCGCTGAGGGTTCCGAAATAACCACTCGCTTTGAAAGCCGGCCCTGTTTAATATGAGCAAGAAATGTTTAGAAGATGATTTATTGCCAACCGGTAAGCTTAGTGCGAACCACACAAAGGGGGTATTTATTTGCGGTCAACTACTTTTATGATGGCCATATAACCTTATAGCTCTTGGTTCACTATACTTCAGGAGCTAGGGAAGTTCTGTCGAAACAAGTTTCACCAGTTTTTTGCTCTGGTTTAGATCTCGATTTGATAAAAAAAATTTCTTTTTGAATTTTGTTTGTGAAGTCTGGGTAAGTAGTTTCTGTATTTCGTTATTTAATATTTCAAGAATGGGTAGTCCCATTAATTCTGTTATTTGAAAAGCTTTTTATTTTTGGAAATTTTGTGTGGATATATAATTAAACATGGCGACCTGACTACAATATTTTTTCTTTTTTTTATCGCTTTCGGTTTGACACACAAGGCCAACAACTTTTTTTTTATGGACCACCCAGATTTTTTTGACATTTTCAAATGCAGAATAAAAAACTAATTTCAGAAATTATCAACATGCTTATTTCCACTGATACTAAAAATAGAAAAAAAATCACAAAAAAACACCTAAAATTGTAAAATCACGCCATGTTTGAAAATACAAATAAATAGTAAACTACGACTGGGACTACAATAAACGTTCAAAGTGTTCTCCGTTTACAATTTGGCAGTGTTGTAATCGATCAACAAAATGTCTCAATCAATTTATCTGTGATTTTACAATATTAAGATGTTTTTTGTGATTTTTTTCTATTTTGTGTATAAACATGTCGATAATTTCTGAAGGTAGTTTTTTATTCTGTTTTAGAAAATGTCAAAAAAATCAGGGTGTTCCGTTAAAAAAATAAAAAGTAGGCGGTCTGTCACACCGAGAGCGATAAAAAAAGAAACAATGTTGTAATCAAGTCGCCATGTTTAACTATATATCCAAAGCAAATTTCAGAAAAAAAAGCTTTTCAAATAACAAAGTTATTCGAATTGTCGAATTGTTGACATAGGCCATTTGTTAAACAGTTTAAAGAATATTGTGGATAAAACTTGTTCATGCACTTTTGCTGATGTTGACATAACTAATGAAACACGTTTTGATTTCAAAAGCATTTTTATCTACAAATGTAAGATGTATGGTTTGGTAGAAAAATTTAGCACAGAAAGTTGCGATATAATTATTATAAAAAAAAAGTAGAAAATTTAAAAGCAGATATTTTAAATGATCCTGCTCACATTTTTGGTGATCACTCCAGTTGCGCCACATAATTTTATTGTGTCCAAAATTTAGACAAACTGAAAATCCAATAGAATATTCCAACTTTTTGAATAGTGATTTATATTCTCCTTTTGTGGCAGCGTTAAGAAGAGTAGCAAATTTATATACTGTTAACGATTTATTAAATTTATTAAACTGCCCAATTCGCTCAAATGGGGTATTGACAACGAAGAAGTGCCAAGAGAAGAATTTATACAATCTATAGGGTTGATTGTAAAATCATGTGGTTTTTTTGTTGACAGAAAAAACAATTTGGGGGCGTCTCCAGATGGTTTAATTGGAGAAGACTCTATAATAAAGATGAAATGCCCTTTTAATGACAGAAAAGAAAATATAAAAGTAGCTATAGAAAACAAAATTATTAAATATTTAGAGTTAGACCCAAAAGATAAAAATAAAATTTTGTTAAAAGAAAATGATAGTTATATGTTTCAAGTCCAAGGACAACTATATATAAGGAATCGTCAAAAATGTTATTTTATTGTGGGTACAGAAGAATGTGATCTAAATCTAAAATACTGAATAATTGAAAGAGATGATACCTTTTGGCATGAAAAAATGGTATCTCAATTAACAGTTTTACTTATATACAATGTTACCCGAAATCCTTGATTCCGGATGTGATCGCTATCTACCGGTACGAAGTAAATATATTAAAAAAAAAGTTACCTAAAATTGAATAAATTCAAAAGTGGTCTTTAAAGCCAAAGCCTTTCATATCTTCAATTTCTTGAAACGAAAATCTCACTGTCCGGCGACTCTAGCCACCGCACTAATCCGCTTAACCGCCCACTGTGGAGGGTGGGTCAAAACTTTCTAATGTAATAAATCACTTTTTGTGGCCGGTTGTATGTATTATTGATTGCCTATTTTCTGAAATTCTTTGATTTCGTTTTTTTCAATTATCACAAAACTTTGGGCAAATAACAACTGATTAAAGTACTATTTTTATTTATCTATAGATTGGTCATAAAATTCCCTAGAAAAAATATGTTATAACGCCCAAAAAGGTAATCAAAGTTTCGATAAAATTATTTTTTTTCTAATAACCTAATGCATTAATTGTCATAATAAAATTATTCTGCGCTACATTTATACACTGGCTATTCTAAAAAAAATCAGCATCGCTTCAAATTCGATATTGTCCGAATGAGAAGTCATTAAAATTTGCATGTATTTGGTATAGGGCTTGATACTGGGGACGTACGGCCTTAAGGGTATGTGGCAATGAATTCATATACATATGCTGTAACGTGTTTTCAAGTTGGCCTAAACTTCATTAATGTATGTTTATGTTTTTTGATTTGAATTTCAACATGATAATTAATTTAAATCCCAAAACCGTTGGCGGCATGATTTTACATTACCAAACAAAACTATAGGTACTTCTAGTTTTTTTCAATTTCCATATCCATTTAGAGATGGAAAATAGCCATTTCTAAACGAAGAATATTTAGTAAAAAAAAATCCACAAGAAAATTGAATTCCTCATTTTATTTTCTTAAAACATTGGACAAATTAAAGACGTAAAATTGTATCCGGTATTTCTCATGTTTGAAAGACATCGCCTGAAAATTTGAGTTAAATGTATCACTTTTTGTTTAAAAAAAGTGTGAAGAATCTATTGAGTATTATTATTTCTTGATTATTCCAACAATGCCCATAACAATAAGTCCAAAACGTTGGAATCCGACTGCAAATAAATTATGTTATTCATTAAAAATGAATATATTAAGGTGTACCTCGCTATTGACGCATATCCTGGTTCTGCTGCGGGTTCTACATCGACGAGCATCCACTGATAGTATTAAAACAAATATTAATAAAAACGTTACATTGAACTGTACTAACTTCATTTCAGAGAGCTTTTTTTTAAAAAAAGTATGCACACCACACTTTAAAAAGGATCACTTCTTAATATGAATTACTTAATAGGAATGAACTATTCCACATGTCATCTTCTTAAATAGGAGACAAATTAAAAAAATGGCGAAATTATTACATGTTACATGTATATGATTATAGTGATAACGCTTGGTTTGTTTTGAATCGGTGAATAATATGTAATTGTGGAAGCTATTTAACAGGAAAATTGTCGTTTTAAAGATAGCTTCCACTAAATTCTCGACATCAAAATTCAGAGAATACTCGTAATAAATTTTCATTAATTCGTCCCTTTTTTACTGATCCAGCTTTATTATCTAAAGAAAGAAATCTTAAAATAAATTTTAATAGATAATAATAATATAATGTTTACAAAAAATTAAAAAACACACTCTCGCAAAAAGAAATTGGGGGTTAAAAAAGAGACTGTGAGAAATATGAGATCCGTAAAAAATGAGCCGTGGGACACTGAGATTAATAATAATTGATACGCAAGTTACAAAATTGTAAATTTTTTATTTAACAAAATTGTATAACGTCTTCAAATATTTTGTTTAATTAAAATAGTAGTTTTCATATCAAATAGGAAATGCGATATCGGTTTCCGCTTTGTTTTATTTTCGACGGTTAAGTTAGTTGACGACATTCTTTCAAGATGTCCACGTGCTGCCAAAAGTTGCTACCACAACCCTACATTGACGATGAAAACAAGTCTTTGTCTCAACCATTCAAGTTCATCGGTTTTCCCTTATATTGTGTGCTTTTATTCATACTATATTGGTTCATATATTGCCCACTGATGTTCGTAAAAGTGTACCATTATTATACTCTTCATTCAATCGCTGTGTGGCCTCCAGAGTGGCCGTACTATTTTTGGATAGTGGCGTTGGTGGTTTTTTTAATCCTAGTATCCATTTTGGTAATTTTGTGGAAATGGTCGCCTAAAAGAGACAATAATTTATTTCAAGTAAATTACATCGAAGGCGACAAAATATCTTTAACGCCCGATCTCAACAAGAAACCTCAGAGTAATTCGGACATTGACAAGTGTGAAAAATCGTTAAATATCGAAACAAAAGAAGAAACCGAGTTGAAACCGATATTCCAAAAAACGCCACTAAAACTGGATCTTACACCCAAGGAAGAACATAAAGTAGAAAAATCGGGCGAAAACGTAACAACTCCATTAACGCCGCGTGAAATCTTTTTCTACGACTTAATCGAAAGTGCGAACAAATCTTTTAATTCCTCCACAAAGTTAAATGCGAATAGAAAGAGCGAGCCAGAAGACACACACGAATTCTTCATAGCGAGTGTATCTCCGAGCAAAACTTGCGTCTCAAATGTGTTCCTATTTGTTAATCCTGATGATAAGGAACAAAGTTCAGGGCAAGAAATTGTTAAAGATGTCAAATATTTGTAAATGCGAACCACCTGTTTAAATAAAATCACAGAATTATGTACTATTGTTTTATTTTCTTTTAATTTGACAGATGAATGTTGTCTTCTGCCGAGCCAAGTACAAATTCAGCTTCTTCAGCCGTCAAATAATCGGACCGTGTTGGCCTCTCCTCAATTGGTACAGCAGATTCTACCCCTACAGGTTTGTTATTATTGTATATTTATTTGCTGTGAGAGGTACGATTTGTTGAAACAATTGTTTCTCCTGAAGGTAGTCGTTACTAGAGTGCCTTGTCAAATTTATCAGGAACGTTCGTCTCAAAGGGTTTTCCAGTTTCCTAAAAAAATTGCAGCAATCCACTTGACTGTAATTTTTTATAATTCGTAATTTTTTGAAGTAAAAAGTCAAACATTGAAAATATTTTCTGAAAGTGCACTGCAGTTTAATTAATTGTAATAACAGCGCAAACGATGGATATCATTTATATAATTTTAGCTCATGTAAGAAGACTATTGCACTTTGAAACGAAAGTTTGAGGCGTCCAAATTGGAACATTGGTTTTACCTTCAAAATTTGTCAAGTGCTTACTTTTGTAAATCCTTTCCGCTGTACATTTAAAATTATATTTGATCAAGAAGATTTAGTCTACGACTTAAAGTTTAAAAAAACCGTTTTACCTAAATATTTTCAAGATTTTAAAGATAAAGCACCATTTAAAATTGTTGTTTTTGAGGTTATGTTGTGTAGCATACATATTAATAAATAAGTCCAGAAGACTTTACTACATTTATTATATAAAAATCTGCAATCGTAATTCAGTGTTAAATAATAAAAACAACATAAAAACCAAAAATTGCTCACCTAAAGCCGCAGCAGCTCTTATTAGGCGCTTACGAGGATTTGTCTCCTTTTTCCTTCGTTCTCACTATCCGAGCCAGAGTTTGATGACGAAGACGTAGAGTCTTCGTCTTCATCGTTTATAAAATCTTTTAAAGAACCTTCTGATTCCTCGGAATCGTCCTAATAAAAAGTAATTTTCAGTTCAATGTGAGGATTCTTAGAAAGTTTTTGTACAATTTGTTTCTCTGACCCTTCTTTCCTTGGCCAACTTCATCTCAATACTCTTATCTAGAAGCACTCGTGGATAAGCACATATCCTCTGTAAGGCTTGAAAATCTACAAATAAAAATGACGTCCGATTTGACCCGTCGATGTTTCTTTTAGCAAAATGATTCATGTAATGTTGATATAACTTAATCTGAGTTTCAGAGAGTTTTAAGAATATAACGTATTCAAACTTAGGAGGCAAATATGGTTCCAAAACAGAGTCGTCTCTTCTTTGTACTACACCGTCCAGCATTTTGTGAAGAACGTGAGATCTTTTTCTCATAATTTGTAAGTCTTGAGGCGTCGAATCTGTATACTGACCATTAGTAATCGGATTTACGAAACAATTTACGTACTCCTTGTATGTTCCCACGAGATTTGGCTTAATAAACTGCACCATGCAAAAATACTCTTTGAGATTATTTTGTAAAGGGGTGCCTGTTAATACAATTCTTCTTAACGTTTTTATACGATTCACAGCGATGCTCAGATTTGTTTTTTCGTTCTTTAAGAGATGACCCTCGTCGCAGATCACCAAATCAGGACCTACATATAATTCGGTACGTCTCAATTGTGTAACCAAATTTTATTCTAAACTTACCTGGATCAACCAACGCTTCCTGAAACGCACTTCTCATCTTCTTGTTCAACCGTTTGTTGTCTGGATTGCTCAAGTTCCTAAACATATCATATCCTATAATCAATACTCCCCCACAATTGTGCCACGTTTTGATTTGATACAGTCGTTCATAATTTTGTTTGAACGATACCAGCTCAAATATTTCAAAGTCGTCATTGTCGGGCAACCACTGTTTGAATTCGTTAACCCAATTTAATACGGTATTTAAAGGGCTAACAACTAAAACTTTCTTCACTTTTGTCTCTTCATTGTTGATTAACAAAGTATGAGCTAATGTAATGACCTACAATTAAATTCATTAGATAAATACAGCGCCATTTGCAATTTTACCTGTAAAGTTTTTCCTAAACCCATGCAATGGGCCAAAATGCATCCGGAGCCCGTAGTGGATTTTGCACGTTCCAGCGACTCAAAACATGCATCCCACATAAACTGTACACCGCTGGCTTGATGCGGCTTCAGTTTAGTTACCAATTGATCATCAACTTTCAACAATTCTACGTTGTTCTTTTCGTCAAAATCTAACACTACTTTGTCAACTGTGGCGTTTTTCTGGGAGTTGCCTTCATACACTAGATTGTACTTTTTCTGTTTTTCGGCGATGCGAGCTTTTCGTTCTTTCTCTTCGGCTTCAGCTTGTTTTGTGGTTTCAGCAAGGGAGTCTCTTCCCCAAATGTTTCTGATTTGCTTTCTTGTTGATTTTTCTTCGTCGTCTTCGCTGCTGTCGCGGACGCGCTTCACTCGTTTACGGGATTTTGGTCTATATTACGAAAAACGAGTATTTATAATATAAAGAAAACGGATTTTGTGGTTTCTTACTTTTCAGGTTCTTTCTCCTATTCTTCTTTCTCTGATTCTGATGAACTACTAGATTCTGGTTGAAATTCGTCGGCGCTGTCTTTTTTGTTGTCAGAATCAGAATCGGATCGAATCGTTTTTTTCTTACGTCTCTTTTTAAGACTAAAAATTGGAAATGTGAAAACATTTTTTTTTTTTTTTGTATTAAAAGTACTTTATTGTGTTAGTATAAAAATACAAAAAGCAATTTTGTTCACGACTATTTAAAAAAAAATGTTTGCAAAATGAAATCTTTGTATAAGCACGTTTGTAAATTAGAAATGCATATTAAAATATAAAAAGAATACTTAGTCATAGGATAGGTAAGCAAAATTCCAACTTTTAGATAAATATTAGGCAACAAGTTTAAATGTAAAGAAAGTTGCAGAATAATATTAAAACAAATTCGTCTATCCACATCGAGACCTTGAGAAGATGGAGAGAAGCAACGCGGAAATAATCTCCGTAGAGAATACTAGACAATTTTTATTTATTTATCACGCGATAACACGTCATATTACTGCCATTTTTCTATATGGTAATATAATACGTACCTAAACATTTTTAGTCAAATAAGACTGAAACAAGAAATACCAAATGCACTTCAGTTTAGGTCACTTCTTAACAATTTGTGTGTAATTCAGTATCTACAGTTAGTAGGGGAAGTTATACAGTATCAAATAATCAAAATTGATTAGGAATAAGAGATTTACCAGCTTCAAATAATGCCGTTTCTTCTGGGCAGTTTCTCTTTCTAGGAGCTGGAAAAGTTACGACCAAGCATTTTGTTTTGTGACACAAAATTGTTTGAATAATGTTCCTTGCTATATTTTGGCAAGAATTAGACAAAATTTAAAGTGTGTCAATTGTCTCCAAGCAATTATTACCAAAACATTTTCTAGGCCTTATACGAAATTCGTTTGTTTAAGAGAATTTAAAGTTAACTCATTAACATATCCAACAGAAGTTGTATTTAATTTGTTTTTAACTATGGAAAAATTTTTGAAAATAGGTAATTCCTGAACAACATGTTGATTTAAAAACTCTGTATTTACACGAAATGAAACTTGATCACCAAATTGCACGTTTTAAATTGCTAGTTTGTCATAATATTAAATTAAAAATTTTAAAACTATTTTCTTTGTTTCGGGTTCGAATACATCTTAAAAAAAACAACGCAAAATAAGAAGGAAAATTTTAGAAGAACGGGGTGCATGTAGAGAAAGTCGAAGTTTAGGTATAAGAGATATCTACTTTATTCTCTGATAGTTAGTTCATTTTTTTTGGTTTGTAATTTTGTAATATAAATTTAAATATAATGAAACCGATTTTATTTTTGTTCAAATCTAGTTTTACTTCCATTAAAAAAGGAGTCGTCTAGAATCAAAACCCGTTAAATCCACTTTTTGTAAATTTTGAGTTACAACTTAATTTGTTCAAAATTTAAGGTTCATTGACTGAGACTTTCATACTTGGCACAAAAAGTATCACTTAAACTCCGAATAAAATAAATATCTATATATTAAAGTAGTACAGCATGGACAAAATCCTTGGGAAACTTTATTCAAATAAATCTTACTAACATGAAATTTATTAACGTAATATTTTCTAAAATAAAAGGAAAATTTAGGTTATGCATCCAAAAGGATTCAGCAGAATGTACGAAGGTGGTAATCTAACGATGTCATAGAGATTTTAAAAATTCAATACTTGTTGATTTGTGTTTACAATACACCAAATACACCCGTATCGATTAGCAGCCTAATTTCCATCAACGAACGCAGGCGCTTCAGCATAATTGCAAATCGTACGAAAACAATGAAATTATAACTAAACAAAACTTGTTTATGACAAAACTCACAAAATCCTGTAAATATCCATCTTTATACAGCTTTTTATGTCATTAAAAGGCAATCTATGGTTCCTATGGACCTCTTTAATTAAGGTCCAACATGTTTGTATTTATTAAGCTGTGAAGAATTTTACTGTGTATCCAAAAGTTGGGCCATTTGCTTTTTCAATGAAGTCTTGTTACGTTATCTTTATGAATTTGTATATGAAGAGTTATTTGAATTCTTGTATTATTTCTTATTAATTTCCTATTATAACCAATAATTCCTCTTAAAAACTGAGTAATTTAAATTTCACAGCTACAGAATTATGTATTTCTATATTTTGGGGTAAATTTTATCTGCAGTTTTCGATTTTTTGCCTCAGTCTAAATGTAGTGACTTAAAGCTTCAATATTATCACAAATTAAGTATAGACTATTATTGAGAAGCCATTTTGTCACCAAGTTTTGTCTGCGAAGTAACTACTTATCACATTTTTTTATAATTACGAATGCCTGGAAAACTGTAAACTTCAATAAGTGTCGTAGTTTTACTATTGACACATTAGAATTGACCTAATAACGCTAAACCAGGCAAAATAAATAACAAAAAAATATTCCAGAACCACCAGAATCGTTTATAGATATATTGTATTTTTATTTTTATCTATTTTCAGCTAGAATTTAACAATGACCCAGAATGTCTTATGGCTTCAACCGACTCAGGGACCACGCAGACTGTTGATTCTATTAGGCACTTGTACTTAGGGCGGACACCTAGAGCGATTAAACAATGTGTAAGGTGTGGAGGATCCGCTGGAACTATCCCTGTTACGAGAACGGCGGCTATAAGAGCATGGGACCAAAGATGGCTTCGATCTTGCCAGTAATTTTATATCGAATTTTGTAAATTAATATTACAGTTATTTTATTGTAGATGTGGAGGTTTGTGGAGAATGCAAGTATACACATAAATCAAGTTGGAATTTTTATGGAGGATCTATTAAAACGCTGTGAAGTGAATTCGTTGTTACAGGGCCCATATTACTGACATGTATATAATGAAAGATAATTTTGTATGAATGAAGACTATAAGACGTATAAAAATAGTTTTGGTTTTATTTTTACACTATAATCAGTAGTAAATAATGAAAGTAAACCAGCAGTCATTAGTGTCTTTTTTATTTAACACAACTGGTCGAAGGTCATTTCGACAGAACTTCCCTCGCCCTTGAAATACAGTCTAACAAATCCCGCTTCTTTGATAAATTAAAAAATTTGACTTTGCGATTTTTTTTATAACCTATATGAAGTAAAAAACAGTAACGTAGGAAAATACAAGAGTATATTTCATACAATTTTTTTGCACTAGCGAATGGGGGTGTGTAACCCTTTCGGGATTTTTTAATCAGAATCGTACAGTTCACACCCGTCGACGGCGCTGTAGCCACCTAACCGTTAATGTGACTCGATCTTGAAATGTGTGGCAATTAGTAACTTTTATGAAATAGAAATATATCTGTGTCCTTGTTATGCTCCGTCTTTTCGACAGCAGGTATTTTTTGCTTCCAGTATGGCGATCCTGTTACTGTCATTTGGCCGTCAATTGCCTTGGTGGTAACACGTCTTCCACGACTGTTTGCTGGTTACCGGTGACACTTTCTCGTTGAATAGGGCTGTAGTTACTTTGGGACTGGAATAGTGTTCTTTCCGGTCCGTTAACTCAATAATTCTAGTACAGTCTGTCGTAACCTCAAATCGTAAACACATCAACCTTTCGTTGACAGATAGCGAAAATTACTAGCCTCGCGCTATCTTTGTTTAACACATAGGTTAGGTTCCTCTCTGTCGAATTCCGACCACAGGCAGTTTGCCGTACTTTCTAAAAGTAATAGTAGATCTAGTGACTTTACTAACCGTAGTTGCCGTGTAGTATTTTATAATGCTTTATGTTGGCGACAATGCAAAAAATCAAATTTGTTTGACTTGTGTTGTTGACGTTTCCAACAAGATGGCAGAGCCCGTGAGTTTATTGTTGTTTAATTTCAACTAGCCCGTGTCAGAGAATTATGACATGCACTTACGATATAAAATTGTAACTTTGTAAAAATTAAGTGGTTCTGTAAATGGTTACTGAAATTGTGCTGGACAGAAGATCAGTGAGTTGGTTATTGCCCATTGTTGAGGCGGGAAACAGGTTCAACACTTATATTCGTATGAATTTTTAGGGTAAACGCTGTTTAATTATTAATTGGTGTGATCACGGTCAAGGTGTTGCAGATTTATTACGAAATAATGTCGAAGGAGTTTTTGTTCGATGTTCTAGAAAAATTTGCACAAGTTACTTCAATTATTGTAGAAACATCTAAGATTAAGGACGACTTAGATAAGAATTTGTTAGATGAACATTTAAAGGATATTTTAGAACGAACTAAAGCACAAGTTGAAAATTTATTTGAGCATGCCACATCCGTTAAAGAATTTTTTGATAAACATGAAAAGCAAGAGAAGTCGGCTGATAGTAACACAAATGTTGGTGCAAATTCGTCAGAAGACAGCGATACCTTAAATTCTGGTGTTACCACAAACAAAGACATAAAATCTGAAAATGAAGAGATTAACAGCACAGAGGTACAAAATCCAAAGCCTCTCATTAAGTTGGTTGATATAAAAAAGCTAGTGGAACCAAGAACACTGATAAAACAAGATTCAAGAAAACATACAAAGAATATTGAACTAGCAGAAACTGTTGTTATTTCGTCGAGCTCAGAAGATGAACGAGCGACACATAAAACAACAAAAACTAAAACTACGGTGTCTAAAAGTGGTATTCGTGCTTCTGCAAATTCTCACATTTCTAGTACCCACTCACGAAGCGCCGCAAACGTGCAAAGCACTAGAAGTCCTAGGGGAATAAGAAGAAAAGCAGCTGAAGAAACAATTAAGAAAAACAAAATATCGTTGCAAGTACATAGTAGTTCTGACTCAGACTCGAGTGAAGATGAGGTACTTCTTTCAAAATCCCATCGTATTAAAAATGGCAATACCAAAAAAGCAACTGAATTAGAGAAAGTCACATTATCAGATACATCAGACAACTCTTCAGATATTAGTTCAGTGGCATCATCCCGTCATAAAAAAGATAAACAAAAGAAAGATAAGAACGTCACGACGCAGAACACCTCAGTGGCAGATTGGAAGAAAGATCCAAAGTTCAATTTTAATTGTTATGTTAAAATTGTCAGGGTACCATGTGAAAAATTAAAGGAATATTATTTAGAAAAATTGGACTTGCTGCAGATAAATAAGTAATAGTTGTAGATTTTCAAGACAACAGTTTTATTTATTTTTTTTTTTTGCAGAATGCGTGATTTAACCGCTTTAAAGAAAAAGAGGCGAAGATCACATTCTGCACATTCATCAGGTAATGATAGTAAAAGTGAGAAAAGACCAAAACGCAAACACATTTCAAAACCTGTTCATAAAGAAGACACAGATAAAAGTGACTCAGATGATAATGTAGCAAACCTTGAAGCAGGTAATGATAAAGGCGCAAGTCCTGCGCCTGAGCCTGATATAAGTTCTAATTTGGCACAGTCTAAACTTGTGGAAGATATGGCAGAAGATGCTTTGGTAGGACATTCTGTTTTTATTTATTTTTTTTTTACGTAAAGTTTATATTTTAGAACCTATTAAATTCAGATAAAGAAGATGACAAAGAAGAAGAAAATGCGACCGCGGCATCTGATAAAGAGACTCCGTTAGATGCAAGTAAAGAAAGTGACAAAGAAAAAGAGACACCTGACACATCTAATAAAGAAAAAGAGAATGAAAAGGAAAAACAGGATGTGCCAGAAAAGGTATGTACTCTGTAAGAGCTGATATTATTTTATTCTAATTTTTGATGTTTAGGATTCTGATAAAGAAATAGTTAAACCAAATAGTGAGAATGTACCTAATGAAGAAGGTGATAAAGAAACGGCAGAGGTACTTTTATAACAAAATAAATAACAAAAGGAAAATACATGTAACATATTTTTTTAAGGAGCAGCTTCCATTAACATCTAATGAAACTAGTGAAGAACTGGCAACCCCTGAAAAAAAAGGTGATGAAGAAAATGATAAGGATAAGGACAAAGACAATAAATGTGATGATGCTAAAAATTCTACAAGTGATAAAAATGAGGATCAGTCAGAAAAAGAAGCAGATGAAAAAGACGCCGCTTTAAATAGTGAAGAAGAAAAAGAAAATGTAAGGTGGTCTCTAAATTTTAAAATAGCGTGTTAATACTCGTTTGCAGCGAGAAAAAAGTAAGGCAAAAAAAGCGTGGAAAAAAGATAAACTTCTTACAACAAAGCTGTCAAGTAGTGATTCTGAGGCAGAAGCAGAGAAAGTTAAAAAGAAAAAAGAAAAAATGCAGGAAGAAGGAACCAGGTAGGTGAAAATGTTTACAAATTTAGTTAGTCATATAAATAATTGGTAATAATCGTTACGCAGTGATGATGAACCAAAGCTACCTAAGGATAAAAAGAAAAGGTAAATTGTGTGTTTATGTTTCTTGGGTCCTTTGGTGCTTTTATGACATATTTTTGCTGTGTCTTTATTTTTCTGATTTAGTTTTAACATTTCTATTTATATTTTTATATCTTTCGACCGTTACTATATGGTGAGATAGACTCGATTACAATACTTCCTTCGCTTACGCTCAGGAAATAAAAATAAAATTTGCAAAATTAAATTTTATAATTTTTCGAACATTTTGTATTTTATAGAACGTATATTTCCACAACACCGAAATCACACAAAATATTTGTCGACGCATTTCGCCAACCACGGTGGCATTATCTAGGTAAAGTTAAACTATGTATTTCTTCGACTGTATTTCAAGGGCGAAAGAAGTTGTGTATAAGTCACCGTAGACCACATTTTTGTTCAACATTCAGTGATGTAACACACGTCTGTTTATATATTTGGATGAATTGTTTATGTCTGGGCGCGACGACGACGGTCGCTCCGTCTTGCTTATCGGCTAATGCAGTACACGTTATTCTTGTAAATAATAACAGTTATCTGTTCTATTATTGGAAAGTTTTAAACCGAAAAGGTTAGCTGCGAGGTATTTATAAACAACGACGTTGATGGCGCCGTAAACACTTAACAATTTAACGTTTCTGGGCTATTTTAAGGTTAACATGGGAACGGAAAGCAAAAAGCACGTGTGCGGGAAGTTTGACCTCCGCCTCCTGGTGGATGCGCGAAAGTCATCAAAAAAGGTCGTGCAAAAAATATATTTACAGCACATTATCAACGAGAACAAAGCTATCTGAGCAATATGCGTAGTATTAAAAATATTAATGTTTATATATACATTGGAAGAATGTCACTTAGACATTTGTTTGATTTGAATGAGTTTATCGCCTTAAAACAGATGAATAAAATTATTCATAAGCCTCAGTTGAACAAAATATTCTGAATGTTATTGGTATAATTCTTACCTTATTTTATTGTTATAAAGACAAACGTATTTTTACATTTTCGAGAAAATGGGGTGCCTCGTTCTTAATTTGACCAATAATAAATTGACTGATTCATTAATTTTTTTGAGTCACCCTGTACAAGCAAATTTAAAAAATATGAATGCAATGAAAAGTTACAAGTTACATTTTCGAAAGAATTCATTCATACAATGCTTACAATAACTTCACAACGTCAAGATTTTAAAGTACATATGTATTCAGTTTTGCAATTCTTGATTTAATCAATAAAATAGGTTGACTCAGTCATTATTTTTTTTCAGACACCCCGTATAAGCAAATCCAAAAAATATTAATGCACTGTAAATCACAAGTATAGACTCATCATATTTTGTACATTTTAGATTGGATTTATTCAGCAAAATTTTGGGGTGGTGTCATAATTTTTTTAGGGGGGATGAGCAAATACATCTTGATCAAAAATTTACTATGCCTATGAGAACTTTAAAACATCTCCAAGATTTCAAAGCATTCGGTTTTGTAGTTCCTGATTAAATCAATAAAATAAATTTACGCATTCATTAATTTTTTTGAGTAACCCTGTATATACAAATCCAAAACATGTGAATGGAAT